GAGGAGGAACTAGCAAAGAAGGCTGATAAGGAGAGGTCAGTGAGATAAGGTGAAACCAGTAGAGTTGATTCTAGAAGCCAAGAAAAGAAAGTGTATCAGTATGTGATTTGTCATGCCAAATGCTGCAGATAAGTCAAGAAAGATGAGGACTAACAGGCCTTTGGATTTAACAATATTCAGGTAATTGATGACCTTAAGTTTCAGTGATGTGTTGTGTAGTAAAAGTCTAATTGGAGTGGGTTAAATTTGAATGAAAGTATACTTTTAGACAGGGAGTATATGTTTGTGATGTTTTGCTAAAAAAGGAATCAAAGATATTGGCCATCACCTAGAGGCGTATAAGGAGTTGAGAGGTTTTGTTGTTTGTTTTCTAATGATTGGAAATGTATTTGCCAATGATTTTGCTTTATTGGAAGGAGGAAATTGATGGCATAGGAGAAAGAAGTGGGATTTCCTAGAGCAGTGACATTGGCGTTCTAGGCATGTAATATCTAGTAGCAAAGTGGAGGAGTTAGATTTTGATGTGAATCCTGAAATTCAGTAAAAGGGTACAGATTCAGGTGGGGAGGTAAATGTCATGAGAGATTCTGGAAGTTCTCTTCTGATTGCCTGTGGCTTTTGAATTTTTTTTTCTTGTATGATGCTTTTCATCAGATTATCTGGCAGGAGTCCTGGGAGGCCTTAGGAGGACTATAAAACTGCTTGTTAAAAATTTTTTTTCAGAACATTAATTTTTTGTTATTATTTAGTTTAGCTGGCTATTTTGTATAAAGTTTGGAAAGAGACCCCACAAAATCTTTTTGGGCTATTTGGAAAAAAATTTTCTCATTGATCTTCAAGCCAAATATATATATTTTTTAAAGAGACAGGATCTCGCTATGCTGCCCAGGCTGAAGGGCAGTGGCATGTTTAAAGCTCACTGTGGCCTCCGTCTCCTGGACTCAAGTGGTCCTCCTGCCTCAGCCTCCTAAGTACCTAGAACTATAGGTGTGTGCCACCATGCCTAGCTAATTTTTTAATTTTTTGTAGAGATGGGGTCTCACTATGTTACCCAGGGTGGTATCAAACTGCTGTTCTCAAGTAATAGTCCTGCCTCGGCCTCCCAAAGAGCTGGAATTACAGGCATGAGCCACCACTCCCAGCCCAAAGAGTTATCATTGATTCAAAGGGTCTTGGAACTTACCGGGCACAATTTCCATTTTAAATATTAATATAAGAAAACCAACTCAGAAGACATAGATAGGCCAGGGAGATATAGCTGATCATCTAGCTAAGTCTGGAATTCAGGTTTCTGTGGCATTTCAATTTACATAGTTTAAGTTTGAAATTTAGTTTTTATACATATGTACATATACATTTAAACTTAACCCTCTGACAATGTAACTGACTTATTCTAAATTGGAGGCAAGCAAAGCCTGAAGTAAAAATATGTAAAATGTCAGGGTCAAAATGGTAACTTTAAATTGTGGTCTCAATTGTGACCTATGTAAAACTTGATTCCTGAGAATTATATTATATTGCATATTGCAGTTAGAATGTACTGAAATCATTTTGTAGCATTTGCTCTTGGCTGAGTTTATATTAAAATGAAAGATTGTAAATCTAGATTGATTTTATAATATTTTAGATTTCTGATAGTTTAAGATGTCTGTAGATTACATTTATATTAAAAAATGGGTTGAGAAAATCATTGGTACTCTAACTTGCTGTTGCCAGTTTTCTGGCCGCCTGCTATTTTTGCTTCTGCTCCCTTATCTCAACAATTGCCTGTATTTGGTCAAGACTGGTAAAACCAAGTAATGGCATCCAAATACATATAAAATACACATGAAACAATATGAAAATGGCAAATAACTCAGGAGGAAAATGGGTAAAATATATGAATAGGCATTCCATACAATAGAAAATATGAGGTAGCCAAGAAACATGAAGAAATATTCAGCATCATTAACTGGCAAGGAAGTGCAAACTAAGACCACAATTAGATGCCATTTTATACCCCAGCATTAAAAAGTTGGCATTACTACATGTTGGAGAGGCTGTAGATGTGGTAGTTCCGCTACTACCTGTTGGTAGTGAAGTTATAAATTGCCAGACACACTTTAGGGAAAGTAAAAATTGGCATCATGATGAAAAGTTAAATTTAAGATTACTCCCTAACTCTTAGGCATGTACTTAAGAGAAACTCGGACACATATGGAACATGACACGTGTTAGAACTTTTATAGCATAAATATTCATAATAGCAAAACAAAACAAAACTTGGAGGGGAAAATAAGCTATTGACAAGAGAACGGATAATTAAATTGTGGTATGTTTGTACAATGAGTAGTATTCTGCAGTGAAAATGAATGAACTACAACTATATGCAACAACATGGGTGAGTTTTGGAAACATAATATTGAATTAAAAAATCAAATCCTATAAGACAGGAGGATAGATTTTGATACCATTTTTATAGAATTCAGAACCAAGCAAATGTATTGTTCAGGAAGATGTACCTATGTGATATACTGTTTAAAGAGCAAAGTAATGATAAACACAAAATACAGGATTGCAGTTACAGGGAGTGGCAGGGATAAGGGAGGCAGAGCATGGAATGGAGGAGGAGCAAATTAGTAGAACAATACCAATAACTTACCCTTAGGTTCTTGAGTTGGGTGACAGTTATCTGGATGTTCATTCTATTATTTTGCTTTGAATTTTAAATGTTCCAAATAATTGTTGTATGTAGTAATTAATATATTAAAAGATAAGCCATAATCTGAAGTCATAATTTAGGAGACATGTCATTACTTCTACCCACTCTCTACTGCCACCTGAATTCCTAATAGCACTCAGTATTTCACTAGAATTATCTTGTTTTAAAGCTTTCTGTCTCTTTAAGCCTCTATGTATGTGCCATCTGGCAAGTGACTCAGTAAAAACTTATTGGATGAATAACCAGATCAATGATTTAAGGAAATAATTCAGGATATTTCTTAGAAACTACCCAAGAGGTAGACTTTTAAAGAGTACTTTTCCTTAATCTGATTTAAAAAATGGGCAAAAGATCAGAATAGACATTTCTCAAAAGAAGACATACATATGGCACACAAACATGCATGAAAAAGTGCTCAGTGTCATTGATCATCAAAGAAATTCTAATCAAAACCATAATGAGATACCATCTCATCCCGTTAAAATGGCTTTTATGCAAAAGACAGGCAATAACAAATGCTGGCAAGGATGTGGAGAAAAGGGAACCCTTGTACACTGTTGATGGGAATACAAATCAGACATTATAGAGAACAGTATGCAGGTTCCTAAAAACCTAAAAATAGAACTGCCATGTGATCCAGCAATCCCACTACCAGGTTTATACTGGAAAGAAAGGAAATCAGTATATCAAAGAGATATCTACACTTCCATATTTATAAGCACTGTTACCAATAGCCAAGATTCGGATGCAAACTAAGTATACATCAACAGATAAATGGATAAAGAAAATGTGGTTCATACACACTGGAATACTATTCAGCTGTAAAAAAGAATGAGATCCTGTCATTTGCAATAACATAGGTGAAACTGGAGGACATTACGTTAAGCAAAATAAGCCAGGTGCAGAAAGACAAACTTTGCATGTCCTCACTCATTTCTGGGAGCGAAAAATTAAAACAATTGAACTCATAAATAGAGAACAGAATGTTGGTTACCAGAAGCTGGGCAGGGTAGTGGGTGGGACAAGGGTGGGGATGGTTAATGGGTACAAAAATATAGTTAGAAAGAATGTAGAAGATCTAGTATTTGGTAGCACAACAGGGTGACTGTAGTTAACAATAATTTATTGTACATTAAAAGTGACTAAGTATAATTGAAACGTTCATAACACAAAAAAATAAATGCTTGAGATAATGGACACCCCATTTACCCTGATGTGATTATTACATATTATATGCCTGTATCAAAACATCTCATGTACTCTATAAATCTATATATTTAAAAATGAAAAAGAAGGATTTTTCTTCTACTTCTAGCTGGGTTTCTGTAATATAAGAACCAGCCAGGTAATGAGATAGACCAGCAAAACTGGATTATTATTGGTTAGGTTTTTGAATAATTACCTGTCTGTTGAAGGCAATATTACTGGTTTTGTTTGAACTATAATAATATGATTAAAGAGTTTAACAAATAAAGTTATATAACAAAAACACATAGCTCATCTAAAAAGGTGAATGTCATTAAAGATGATGCTATTCTTTGGTATAACATTTTAGAGTTAGAAGGCCCCTAGGAATTAGTCTAGGCTCCTCATTTTTGAATTAAAGAGCTTTAGGACCAAAAATGTGTTTGACTACAATATAGACTTGTTGAGAGCAGAGTTACTAGAGGCCTAGAAACTAGATCTCATGATTCATATGCTAATGTTTTCATATTGAAATATTGACTGGTAAATGAAAGGAAACATTTATATATCCTGTATAAGACAACCCAAATAATTTGAGACTACAGTGTGACCTTTGAATGAGGCAGCAATTTTTAAAATTTTAATTTAGAACAAATCAGTTCAGCTCTATACCACATTTATCTTGAGATGCATGACAAATACACCTAGAGAAATAGCAAGAATTTTTTCTCCAAGAAAAATGGCAGTGTGGTCTGTGATATATAAATGAGTCCTGGACCAGAAGTGATAAGGGTTGAGTTCTGAATCTGGCTCTAACACTAAGTAGCTGTGTTGTCATTGATTCTTCCCATAACTTCTCCAGGTCAAAGTTTCCTTATCAGTAAAATGAAGAAGCGGAATCAGATGGTCTATAGAGAGCAGCTTTAAATAACTTTATATTTTTCATGGATTTTTAATAGCAAATTTAATCTATTTTAAATGAAGTGCTATATGTTCCATTATTAAACAAGCAAGACAGCAAGTAAGGAGGTAAAGAGAATCAGTAGAAAATGAATGACTCATGATGCATATTCTGAACATAAACTGAGTTTTCTTTTCCTTTTCTTCATCAGGTATAATACTTCTCCACATCTGCTTCAGGAAGAAAGTGCCTGCCATTCTTATCATTTCTAAGCAGGTTCATGCCAGCCCAGAACAGAGAATCAGGTCAGTTTTAGGATTGTTTTATTTGTTGAAAAAGGAGCTAGGAACAGAATGGTGATTGTCTTTGCTGCGTTATTGTGCAGCAGCAAGACCAGTGACTTGTGATTCAGGAGTTGGGTTTCAACCGTCCTTTACCACTGATGACTGGTAAGCTTGGGCAAGCCTTCTTTGCTTGTTGGCTCTTAGTTTTCTGCACCAAAACAGGGCTACATTATAATAAGTTATCTTCAGTTTCAATTTTGGCTTTAAATCAACATTACTTTTCTTGTAGATACCTACAGATGATAAAAGTCATATTTTTAAAGCATCATTTCCTCTTGTTTTTTCCTGGAAAAATCTAGTTGTTTTTAAAGCACATGCTTTGGAACTCTTTAATCCATTGTATTGTAGTTTATTTGAGTGACTAGTTTAAGGAATACACTATCTTGTGAGGCCCTTGAGAGCACTGTGGCTATCTTAGTTTTAATGTTTTACTTTGTTGTTATTAAAACGTTTATTTTTTACATGAGGTTATTAGTTTTTCAATAATGTTCTTCAGCTTTAGATAGCGTACCTTTTTGATCATGTTGGTTCTCCGTTGATTGCAAGTAATCAAATTATTGTAACCAAAAATGGGAAAACTTTTGGGAGTGTCCCAGGAGATGCCACAGGATCCAAGAACAGAAATGCAGCTGGACTGCACAATAAGAACCCAGTACCAAAGACAATAAGATTTCCTGCAGGCTCTCAGCAGAGCGTCTCTTTTCTGCATGTCGATCTCATTCTTCTCTCTCTCTTTGGGAACTAGCTATCATCACATTTCTATTCTTTGTGAGGTGAAGCCTGCTTACCACTGCCTCCCAAGCATAATACCTTATAATCCAGATCCCAAAGAAAGGCTAACTAAGCACTCGATACTAATTTGCCGGAACAGAATTTGATTCTTCAGTCAGATATCTTTAGACAAATTGTAGCTTAGGACATGGTAATTTAAAAGCTTTGCATTGGCTTTCTTTGTTTTAAAGCCTGTTCTCTGAAAAAGATCTCACTTATTCCTACTAAAATGTGGATAACTAGTAATAAGATGTAGTAGTACTTCCTCCACATGTGTGGTAGTGTCCCCTTATCAGAGAGGGATATGTTCCAAGACACCCAGTGGAAGCCTGAAACCACAGATAGTAGGGAACCCTATGTATACTATATTTTTTCTATACATACTTACCTGTAACCAAGTATAATTTATACATTAGGCACAGTAAGAGATTAACAATAACTACTAATAAAATATAACAATTATAATAACAAGTATTACAATGAAAGTTATGTGACTATGGTTTCTATCAAAATATCTTATTGTGTATAATGTTTTTGGATTGTGGGTAATTGGAACCATGGAGGGTGAAATCATGGATAAAGGGGGAATATTGTAATACTTTAAAGATTTATCCATGTTATTGCATTCATCTATGTTACCTGGCATTAAAAAGGATAAAACTTCTGATACTTTTAATGCTGGGTAGTATTTCATTGTTTGGATAGTCCACAGTTTGTGTATCCATGCACCAGTTGATGGACTTTTATTTGACTTTCATGAATAAAACGGTACAGTGCAATAAGATATTTTGAGAAAGGAAAGCTTTTTCATTTGACTTTTTGAGAAAAAAAGATTTGAATATAGGAGACATACTATTAGGTACCCAGCTCAGCTGCCAACTATGATTTTGGGTGAATTACTTTTTCTCTGTGCACCTGAATTTATTCAGATCCTGGCATTGCCACATACTAGCTTTGTGATCTTTACTTCTGGACATCAATTTCTACATCTTAAAAAAGGAGCAGATGATAGTGGTAGCTCATGGTATTGTTATGAAGAATTAACATATGTATTCAAACAGTTCCTGGCACATCGTTATCATTATCATCATCAATTTTTGAAATGAGTAGATTAGATTATATGACTGCAGAGGTCCCAGCTCACTAAAATATCTGTGGTCCTAAGATTTTCTGGTATGGACTAATATTTTTTTTCTTAATAAAGACCTTGGGGCATCTCCTTGAGTCCTAAATGGAGGCTAACTTTGGTATTGTTGATAGAAGTTATTTTGAATTAAGTATATGTGTGCTATCTCTTGCCACATACATTAGTTTGTTAGGGCTGCTATAACAAAGTACCAAAAACTGGGTGGCTTAAATGACAGGAATTTATGGTCTCACTGTCTGTATGATAGAAGTCTGAAGTCAGTGTTGCAGGGTTGGCTCCTTCTGAGGCCTCTGAGGGAAGGATTTGTTCCAGTCCTGTTTTCTTGGCTTTTAGGTGGCTGTCTTTTCCCTGTGTCTCTGTGCATGGCCTTCCTTCTGTGCATGTCTCTTGTGTCCAGATTTTTTTTTTTTTTCCTTTTTGAGTGAAGTTTCTGTCTTGTTGCCCATGCTGGAGTGCAGTGATGCGACTTTGACTCACTGTAACCTCCGCCTCCTGGGTTCAAGAGATTCTCGTGCCTCAGCCTCCTGAGTAGCTGGGATTACAGGTGTGCGTCACCATGTCCAGCTGAGTTTTTTGTATTTTCAGTAGAGACAGGGTTTTGCCATGTTGGCCAGGCTGGTCTCCAATTCCTGACTTCAGGTGATCCACCCGCCTCAGCCTCTGAAGTGCTGGGATTACAGTTCTGCATGGCTGGGGAGGCCTCAGGAAACTTACAATCATGACGGACGGTACATCTTCACTGGGCAGCAGGAGAATGAATGCCAGCAGAGGAAATGCCAGACACTTACCATCAGATCCCATGAGAGTCACTCATTATCACAACACCAGCATGGGGGAATCCTCCCCCATGAGCCGATTGCCTCCACCTGGCCCCGCCCTTGACACATGGGGATTATGGAGGTTACAGTTCAAGGTGAAATTTGGGTGGGGACACAAAGCCAAACCATTTCACTGGGTATCCCTTAATCCAGTCATGTTGACACCCCAAATCAACCATCATCATACTTGGAAACTAATTTTATGGGTTCATTTTGTAATTCTTGTTATGGAAGGTAGTATAGTTGTGTTTCTGGAAGTGAAATTTGACCTAGTTGGCATTATCTGTAGGAGTTATTCTATAAGGGGTGTGTGTGTAACATGTGGAATAACATTTCTTTAGTAAATTTAGTCTAAGAAAATCTCAAGTTCATGGAGAAAAGATTCTTTTTACAAACTTCATTAGGGTAGATGGAGCTTATACTTCTTAACCATATGATGACATGATTTTTACATGATTTTACAAGTGGTTATTTTTATAAGTAGTTGTTTAATTATAATTATTTGTGAATTACTGTAAATAGAATACATTTAATAGTAAACAAACACCTCATTGTTAGAAACGATGAGACATTTTTAAGTCTCACTAGATTTGGACGTTTAAGTCATACTATACAGAAATTGAGTAAATATAATTTAATAGGATTTCTATGTGGTTTTCTTTTTCACTTGTTAGCATGGTTAGCAGAAGTCATATATAGATTTAAGACTTTCTTTTGGTCCACCTATAGTGGACTGGGGAAAGCATTCTTATTTTTGAACAATTGATAATTTTTTTTCTTAGAAAAAACTGTTGAATTGATGGCAAAGGGGAAGGTCTGTTGAAATGATTATGGCAAAGGGGAAGGTTTAAGCTTAAGCTCTTAGGATGCTGTTACCAGGATACTGAGCTGAGAGTTTTGTTTTGTAATATACCTTCTTTTTATTATGAAAACTTCTAGAACTGGATAGATTTACGACTAGATTTTAGGCTTTAGATTCTTTGAAGAAAATAATGTTGCAAATTTTATGGTTTAGAAAAACATCACCCAGAAATGAAAGTCTGTGTCAAATGTATTAGAAAGAAGACATGTGTTGAGAGAGTTTAAAAAGCTGAAAGGGAACTCAGGAAAATGTAAATGAGTAAAGATACTTAATGTGAAGTTTAAATTACAAAGTACAAAAAGTTCTTATAATCAGAAAAAAGTAAGTAGCAAAATAAAATTGTATTACTAAATAGAATTTTAGGATTTTAAAATCTAATTCAATTTTCTTTCCTTTGAACAAGTGATACTTACAATTTAAGACTTAGAAATACTAATCTTTTTAATCACCACTTTATCTTCTGTTGTGAAACTTTTTTCCTTTTTCTGTAGACTTTTGATTTATTAAATAGAGCCTGATGTTTGTATGGCCACATCACATTGATTTTCAACCCTTAGTATCCCTTACTTAGCACTTGTTTTGGGGACAAATTATACATTGATCTTTATCAACAGTATGATTTTAAAAAAGGTGTATTAATAAAGCAGATATGAAAGTGAAAAAATTGCAGTGTAATATGTGTTTTGTTTGGTTAAGGTCTCAAACTTAATCATGTTTTCTAGTTTAAATCATATTACTGCTTACAGCTTTTTTATTTTTTAATTTTTTTAGACGGAGTGTCACACTGTCACCCAGGCTGAAGTGCAGTGGTGCGATCTCGGCTCACTGCAACCTCTGCCTCCTGGGTTCAAGCAATTCTCCTGCCTCAGCCTCCTGAGTAGCTGGGATTACAGGCACCTACCACTATGCCAGTGAATTTTTTGTATTTTTAGTAGAGACAGGGTTTCACCATGTTGGCCAGGATGGTCTTGAACTCCTGACCTCATGATCCTCCCACCTCGGCCTCCCAAAGTGCTGAGATTACAGGCGTGAGCCACCACACCTGGCCTGCTTACAGCTCTTTACCCCAGGACAGATTTTCTGATATCTTCTTATTTCCTCATCTGTAACATGGGTTTATTAGTAATACTTAGAAGTATCAAAGGATTAAATGTGATAATGCTTATAAAGGACTTAATACTGTGCCTGGCACACAGTAAGTAGAAGCTAAATTTATATTAGCTGCTATTTGTTGTTAATAAGCATCACTTTTTTTTTTTTTACTTCATTTTTACTTCAGAATTTTTGAGATTGAAATATAAACAAAATCATGTCCACAGCAAATGATCATATATATATATATCCCTTGGTATTTAGTTGATTG